TTTCCCATCACCCAAGTTAGTATGTACCTAGTCTTGGTGTGGTGCTGTAGGATAACTGCAAGGTTGGTTTGAACTGCAAGACTGGCAGTTCAAACTCACCAGCTTCCCCTCGGAAACCTTATACAGGGTCGCTATGAGTCAGAACCAGCTCAATGGCGCTTAACAACAACAACAACAACAATCCTAGTAATTTATCTTGCCTTCCACTCCCATCCCTGGTAACTATGGAAGAATGTTTCCTTTTGTATGAAAACTTTTCCTTGATTGTTTTATAATAGTGGTCTCATACAATACTTGTCTTTTTTTGATTGCCTTATTTCACCATTCAACATAATGTCTGTCCTTCAAGTTCGTTCATGTTGGGAGGTGTTTTATAGAATCATCATTACTCTTTCATGTTGCAGAGCAGTCCATTATGTGAATTCACCATAATTTGTTTATCCCTTCTTCTGTGAATAGGTATCTAGGTTGTTTCTATCTTTGTGCTATTGAGATGAACATGTGTATATATTATATGGTATTTATATTTCTGACTTTTTAAGGAAGTACCATACAATTTTTCACAATAGTTGTACCATTTTAGAGTCACCCCCCATTAGTGTGTGAGTGTTCCAGTCTCTATACCCTCTACACTTGTTGTTTTCTGGGGATTTTTTTTGCTATTGATACTGGTGTGACATGATATTTCATTGTTGTTTTGATTTGTATCTCTTTCACACAGTAACAGTTTTGATTTGTATCTCTTTCACACAGTAACAGTTGGGAAGGTGACACGGGGCACTTCTGTAGTACAGAGGGTCACTTTGAGTGGGAACCTACTTGATGGCATCTACCAACGACAACATTGGCTAATGATTGCAAACATTTCTTCATGTGTTTGTTGGTTGCCTGAATGTTTTCTTTGATGTTTCTCTCTTCTGCCCATTTTAAAATTGGATTATTTATCTTTTTGAGGTGTTGACATTTTCTATAGATTTTAGAGCTTAGTCCCATATCTCAGTGCCAAAAAATTTTCCCCAATCTGTGGAGCCTCTTTTTACTTTAGGGTAAAATCTTTTGATGTACATAATTGTCTGATTTTTAGTTTGCCTTCTGTGTATTTTTAGTTATGTTTGATAGTGTACATGTGCTATGGATTAAAGATCCTATATTTGTCTCATTTTTTCTTTAATGTTCATTATAGTTTCAGGTTTTACATGTAAGTTTTGATCTGTGTTGAGTATGGTGTGAGATATGGATTCTGTTTCATTTTTTTTTGCAAATGGATATCCAGTGTTGACAGTACCATTTGTTAAAGAGACTATCTTGTCTCTATTTAATGAGTTTTGGTCCTTTGTCAAATATCAGCTGTCCGTAGTGGATACTTTACTCTTGTGTTCTCAATTCTGTTCATTGATCGGTGTGTCTTTTGTTGTACCAGTACCTGGCTGTTTTGAACACTGTAGCTATGTAGTAGATTTTGAGATCAGGAAGTGTGAGGGCTCCTACTTTGTTCTTTTTCAGTAGTGCTTTGCTTATTTGGAGTCTCTTTGCATATAAAGTTGTTAATTCAGTCATTTTCTTTTGAATATTTTGGTACATATTTTCTATGCTGGCATATAGGCATTCCTTGTTTTATTGCATCTTGCTTTATTGCACTCCACAGACACTGCAGTCTTTACAAATTGTAGATTTGTGGCAACTCCGTATCGTGAGTGTATTGAGGCCATTTTTCCAATATTATGTGCTCACTTCATGTCTCTGTGTCACATTTTGGTAATTTTCACCATATTTGAAACTTTTTCATAATGCTATTGCCACTTAATAGACCTCCCCCCAAAAAAAACAAAAACAAAAAAGCCCAGTTGCCATTGAGTTGATTCCAACTTACAGTGACCCTGTTTAGGCATCCAAGATTATAAATCTTTATGGGAGCAGACAGCCTCATCTTTCTCCTGCAGAGTGGCTGCTGGGTTTGAACTGCCAACTTTGTAGTTAACAGTCCTTTACTTATCCTACAGTGCCACCAGGGCGCTCCTGACAGACCACAATGTGTTGTTGTCATCGTTCAGTGCTGTTGAGTTAGTTCCAGCTCATAGTGAACTTGTATAGGGTTTCCAAGGAGTGGCTGGTGTGTTTGAATTGCCGACCTTGCAATTCAAACTGACCTTGCTGTTGAGTCTATAAACATAATGTTAATACTCACTGAGAAACCAAAATACTTGGGTGACTTGCTTTATTGCTGTGATATGGAGCCAAATTCTCATTATCCCCAAGGTATGCCTATACCTTTGTTTCTCACATAATTATGGAAAAGCATTCTCATAGTCTTCACCCTTTATACCTACCTCTCTCCAAAACGCCTGCTATTGGTAACAGGGAAATGGGGCAGTCTAAATGTATTCTGATAGAATTACCAGTCTTTCAGTTAGCAGTCCAGTGCTTATCCTATAGTGCCACACCACAACTTACAAAGATCAGATACTGGAAAACCCTTTGGGGTCCTTCTATTCTGTTACATGGTTGCTATGAGTTGAAATCTACTCCAGCTGTTCTAGTGAACCGGATGAGTAGTGAATTGGATAACAAAGATACTGATTTCCCATCTTCTTTCTGCTTTGTTCACCTTCCAAATCCAGGTAGACCCCAGGATCTAATGATTTCACCTACCTGCTTTGCCAATCCTGGCACTTGGTAGTTTTCTTACAGTTAGCTGTCCTGTCTAGTTTCATCCAGCCCCTTTCCTCTGGCATTTTCAGTATTTACTTTCTACTTATTTTTTCCTTTCTACCTCTGAACGTACTTAGCTTACTTGTATTTTTCAACACTAATAAACAAACACAAACTTTGCTGTTGATCCTGCAACTTAAAAAGCATGTTCAAAAAGTTGTGTGTTTGCCGCTGCCACTTGTTACCACCCTTTTATTATTTAATCTTCAATAATATTATTTATGTAAAGGAGCCCTGGTGGCACAGTGGGTTATGTGTTGGGCTCCTAATTGTGAGGTCAGCTGTTTGAACCCACAATCTGCTCTGCGGTAGGAGAAAAATGTGGCTGTCTGTTTCCATAAAGATAAATAATCTTGGAAACCCAAAGAGGTTTCCATGAGTCAGAATTGACTTGATGGCAGTGGGTATACTCTATACAGTGGGTATATTGTAACTTCTAGATCCCACCACTCTACTGATGGTACATTTCCAAAAATAACTGATGGTGTGATGCTGTGGGATAAATGCTTGACCACAAGGTCAGTTTGAACTGCAAGGTTGGCTTGGAAACTGTACATAGGGTTGCTCTGGGCAGTGGGTGGGAGGGAAATGGAGTAAAGGAGTTGTAAGAGTGGTCAGGACTAGAGAAGGAGATTTGAGTATCCTCTGTAGGGAAATCGCAGAAGAGATGAAGAGGGTGGGGATGGGTGAGGGGGCGAGTATATCTAACTCAAGGAACACCCGGGGTCCAAAGACAATCCTTGTTGCTGCTGCTAAGTGCCGTTGAGTCCGTTCTGACTCATAGCGACCCTGCATAGGGTTTCCAAGGAGTGATGGTGGATTTGAACCACTGACCTTCAGTACTTATCCTCCAGTACCACACCAGCGCTTCAAAGACATCCTTAGCACAAACATCATATTCCCACCTAGCAGAGTCTTAATTTGTTTCATAATATAGTACACACTCATGAAATATCTGCTGAAGAAAGGCTGCATAAATCATTTCCCACCTGCCTGCTGCATCTCTTCATCTGATGTTGGACAGTGTATTTATGCCTAGCAAAACCAAACTAGAAAGTGCAGCGCATCACAATTGTGATCTTTCTTCTTGTTGTTGTGCTGTCAAGTTGGTTCCGACCCACAGTGACCCTGTGTAGGTTTCCTAATAGTGACACATCATATAGGTTGTTACAGAATATATAAAAATGATGAGCATTAAATGTTATTTGCCGTTAAAAACCCTGTGGAGTGCAATTCTATTCTCACACATGAGTTGGAATCAACTCATCAGCAACTGGGTTTTTTTTTGTGTGTGTATTTTTTTAATCTAGTATTCTAATTGTGATTCCTGTTCTTAAACAAATACATCTTTGACCATAATGGGCTTCCTAATAAATACTTCTTATATCCAGGTTGAATCTCACTTTCCCTGCTGCCATAATGTTACAGGTTTACTTAACTTTTTTGTGAAAAGCTACTTTGATTTGTTAAACCCTTGACTTCTGTAATCAATGCTGTCTGTCTTGGGGATTGGCTGATTATACTTGACTCAGTTGCACATGCACAGATTTTGCCACATGTATTAGATATTTATTATTGTGTAACAAGGTACCCCAAAACTTAAAAAAACCATTGACTGTCTTGCAGTCTAGTTGGTTAGTAATTTGGGAGTGGTTTGGTTGGCTGATTCTGTCTCAGAGTTTTCCATGAGTTGCAGTCAAGATGCTGTCCAGAACTCTAGTATTTGAGGACTTTGCTGGAGCTAGAGGGATGGTTTCCATTAATGCCTCTCTCACATGGCTTAAGAGGCCTCCGCTCCATAGGGCTCATTGAGTGTCATCATGATATGGTAGCTGGCTTTCTTCAGGGTGAGGGATTGAAGAGAGTGAACAAGGTGGGAACGGTAATGTCTTTTATAAAATAGCCTTGGAAGGTGTACATCATCATTTCCATTCCTATTAATATCTCATTCATAAGTAGCTTACTAATTCTACCCATAGTCAGGAGGAGAGGAATTGAGTTTTGCATTTTGAAGGTGGACGGTCAAGGAATTCATGTAAACACTTTAAAACTTCTGCACCCTATATGATTTTGTTTTTTCTTTTGGTGAGCTAATGATGTTGGATAAATATTGCTATAACTTACTTTGAATGATTGCTGTGTGTTTTTTTTTTTTTATGCTAAATAAATTCCAGGTTCTGAAGTAACTTTAGATACTGCAAATATTGTGGTAGTTTTGTTTGTGTTTTTAGGGCAGCAAGATATCATTGAAATGCACTTGTTGAAATAAATGGCTTATTTTTCCCTCTCAGCTGATTTGAATAAGATGCACAGACAAAATATAGATGCCTACCATAACCCAGATGCAAGAACCCATGAAGATAAAAGGGCTGTTGTGTCTCTAGAGCAAAATTTAGCCACTACAAATGATGAGAACCTAGAAGATTCTGCAAATAAAAACTCAGGTTTTTAATCACATTCTATTATTTCTTTTACAATTTTATTAAAATTGTTTTCTCTTCTCTGGCAAAGTATTTGTTGTAGTTTGAGAATTTGGCTTCTCTGAGTTAGGAAGCACTTTGGTTACTGTGAGTTACGCTGTTTATGAAACCCTTTGTTCAGAGGTCTTTTGAAAAAGTAGGAATAGGGAAAATACAGGTTGATTTCAATGCTGTGTATTTCATCTTAGCTTTGTAACTTGCTATAGCTGCTGCTAACATTTTTATTTTGCTGGCAGAGTATGATATTTCTTAAAATCAAATGTTTCTATATCTATGTGTATATCTACCTACCTACCTACATACATACACACACACACACACACACAGAGTTTGCTTCTTATACCTACAGCAGTTTGAATCAGTGGAAAGGTTTCAGGTGTGGTATGATAAAATTGTACGATGAGATTAAATTTTCTCTTATATTAGTAATCATTAGCTTTGTAAAACCACGGTGTATGAAGAAAACAAATAATTGCAGAAAGTTAATTTAATATCAGGTCACATCCCCCTTTCTTAACCAAATATGTTTGATTTATAATTAAATAACATCCTTTAATTAAGGGTCTATCATTGACACTCAGTGTCTTTCTTTATGACTTACCAGGAAAAGTTATCATGTTTTTCATCACTTTTCTTTATCAAGTTATATGTAAATATGATATATATTTAAAAGCTAAAGAATATTTTAAAAATATGCCACCTAGCACTCACTAAATTTGATACTGCTTTAGTATTTTCACAAAAGTTTTGATTTTCTGCTAGAAAACAAATTGACGTTTAGCAGTGCTTCTAAAATATCCCAGACTTGCCATGCAGTCCGTTTTGTTTTGTTTAAATCCATATGACTTCTGGGTGGTCAAACCGGTAGGCTAGAAGGGGAGCTATGGTGGAAATCACTGGTTTCCTGGGCAACCTATCCCACTGTTTGATCCCTCTTTGTGAGAAAATGATTGCTCTTTTCTTTTATCTCAAATTATTTCTACATAGTGGATCTAATTTTGAGTTTTTTGAGTGCTAAAATGGACACCGTTAGTTTTATGATACTGTTTGTTTACCTTTCACTTTCAATATGTAATTTGATATTCAGTTGTTGTTAAGTGCCATCAAGTGGATTCTGACTCAAAGTGACCCTGTATAGGGTTTCTGAAGTGGTAAATCTTCACGGAGCAGAGAGCCTCATCTTTTTCTCTTGAAGCCAGTCTTCTGGTTCTCTTCTCCTCTAGAATCACTGTGCTCCCAATATGCATTTAGGAGTATCAAAAGGAGTCCAGGTGGCACATAGGTTAAACATGTAGCTGCCAACCTACCAGCCGCTCCATTGGGGAAAGCTGTGGCTGTCTGCTTCCATATAGGTGACAGCCTTGGAAACCCTGTGTGGCAGTTCTGCTCTGTCCTCTAGGGTCACAGTGAATTGGAATCCACTCAGTGGCACACGGCAGCCCACAAAACCCGCTGCCTTCGAGCCAATTCCACCTCATAGTGACCCTATATATATAAAACAGAATACAACAGCTCCTTATGAGCTTTCTGAGATGATACATCTTTATTGGAGCAATAAAATCTCATCTTTGTCCCTCAGAGCTACTGGTGGGTTTGAACCACCAACTTTGTGTTGAACAGTCCAACACTAAGCCCCACTGTACCACCATGGCTCTTTCATGCATCATGGGCATCAAAACACTTTTCCATATCATTGTTCCTATGAGAAACTTTCAGCTTCTTTCTGATGATCGTTATTTTTCTCTTCCTCAATTGCTACTTTTTTATTGTGAATTGAGTGAGGGTTTACAGAGAAGATAATCATCAGTTATACATTGAACAAGTCATATGCTTCGTTTCTAACCTACTTTTGCGGTCCTTTTATAATTTTCACTCTTTTACTTCATGGTTCTTAGATGAACTGAAATCTTTGAAGTCCACCACTGATTTGGCTTAAATTTATTAAATGGTTCATTATAAGTTCTTTGCATAGAATAACTACTTCTCTGTGGTTTTGTTTTATAGTTTGCTTAGTGCTAAAAGGGCTTAATATTTCTGTCTTTTATCATATTTTTTCCCTAATTGTCTAAAGTCATTTAAATATTTAGAATGAGTGTTCATGAAGGTGAAGCATGCCGCTCAATTTTATATTGTAAATCAGCTTTTACAACACAGTATAAGCCTTGAAGGAACCATTAAGGTAGTGTGGATTTAGTTTGTTTTTAGAAGGAGCATTTTGTAAGTGTGAGAAAGTCTTTATAATATTTAAGTACTAAGTTTTCTGCTGATCAAAGAAGCATTAATATGTTTAAATACAAAAGCAAAATAGACCTGAAGGACGGCTAAACTGCAAAGCAGTCAGCCTACTTAAAATTACACCATTGAATGAAAGAAACATGTACTTTAGATTGATATTGTAAGAAATGAGTCAGTAAATAAAACATAATACATAAAGGTGTATGAGACTTAAATTTAAATAACTTTTTTTCTTCATTGAAAGACTCCTAGGATATAATTGTTTCTCAAGCTGCTGTTATAAAATATTTTTTTAACCCCTCCAAGCATATCTATACTAGTCTTGGGTATTAATAAAATAATTTTTGTTCATTAATTCAATGGAATATCTAAGTAAAAGCTGTTGTAATGCTTAAAAATCTCATTCATTTGTTAAGAATGTTTTTATAATTTTTGTTGTTGTTAAGTGCCATCAAGTTGGTTCCGACTCAGACTGACCTTGTATAGGGTTTCCGAGGAGTGGCTGGTGGGTTTGATCCGCCAACCTTTTGGTTAGCATTCCAGTGTTTATTCTACAGTTCCACACCAGAACTAATTTGCCTATTTGTCACTACTGTTTAAACTATGAATAGGAAGACATTTTGGAATCACTGGTTTTAGAAATTTTGTATATATAAATACACACATGATAATGCATTTTAATATATGATTTAGGATTATTCTTAAGAGCAGGATATTCACAGCCACAGAAATTAAATTTGTACTTTTTTCTTGTCCCAAAACACTACTTTTAAAGCCTTTGTGGGAATGAGAATTGTTTAGGCTGTTAGCTTTTATGTGCTTCCTTGGTACCGTTGAGGTATAGATACATGATTTTTCAGCTATTTATTTTATTTTAGTCTCGTTGTTTTTTTCCCCCCTCCTGTTAATTTTTATCTCGTCTTCAGACTCTAATCTTAGCCTTCCTCTTCTGACCTCAATTTCTGGACTTTCTGACTTAGCACAATTTTTTAAAATATGACTTTAATTAGAAAACTAGTCGTTCTTTGATCTATATGATTTTTATGCACTGGCTAATGGTATGTTTTCTGCAAAATCTCTCTTTGAAGGTTATATGCAAACTCACAGCTCTCCTTTTGCTCGGGGGAACATATTTGGTGAGCCTCTAACTGAACTTCAGATTAAACAGCAAGAATTGTACAAGAATTTTCTTCGTTTTCAGGTAAAGTGCTTATTTACTTTTGTTTCAAAGTTTCATAGGAAGTTAATTAAGTTTCTTAAAAACTAAACTTAGAAAATTATTTACAGGATAAACGGTAAATTCTACAATGCTATGTTGTTATCTAATATGAAAGTACTAAAATTTGCTAAGTTGTAGCTGAAAAACAAAATAAGGGTGTATATTAAGTTTATCAATTGACTTAGTCTTTTCTAAACTTTATTAATCAGTTAAAACAGAGAATGCTGACATTTAAAAAACTGAGTTACTAAAGATTTACCACTTAGGCATAGAATGACTCTTTCTAGATGTTTATAAGTTAGTAGAATATCAGTAATTTTTTCCAAATGATTTGATATGCTCAGGTTAGTACTTCAGATTTTAAATAAATAAAAATTGATATTGATGTTGTATGCTATTAAATCAGTTCTGACCCATTGTGAACCCTGTATAGGGTTTTTCAAAAGTGTCTGGTGGATTTGAACTGCTGACCTTGTGGTTAGCAGTTTGGTGCTTATCCTACAGCACCATCAAGTTGGTTCCGACCCATAGTGACCCAGTATAGGGTTTCTGAGGAGCAGATGGTGAGCTTAAACCACTGACCTTGCAGTTCAAACAGCCTTGCAGTCTGGTACATTAACCCATAGTGCCACACTGACTCTTAAGTGCTGTCGAATTGGTCCCAACTTATAGTGACCCTGTGTAGGGTTTCCAAGAAGCAGCTGGTGGGTCTGAACTGCTGACCTTGTAGTTCGCAGTCTAGTGCTAATACTATAGCACCACACCGGGAGTCCAAATAATAATTAGATGTAAGATAGTTATTTTTGCAATTACTCTCCCCATTTGTGTATATAAGCAAATAAATATATTCAAAGTAAAGGAAATGCCCAAAGTGAAAATACTTGAACATGCAGTGTTTATTAAGAGCCTGGGCTTATTGAACACTTTTATGCTGAATAGTAGGGTTTGAGCCAGAGATGAATGAGATCCTTGCCCATAAAGGGCTTTCAGTTTCTTTTCTTCTTGCCCTCCTCTGCCACAAACCCACCCTTTCACTTTAGCGTCAGCTTAACTTTCTTTTAGATACTACTTTTCACAAACCCAGCAAGTTTTTCTTTGCGTACAGAATAATCATCAAACTCTTTAGCCTGACATTTAAGGATGTCCAACCTATTCCCAATTTCTTTAGTAGATTCTTCTTGAATGATTTTCCCTCAGAGATGTCATGTGCTTTCTAACCCTAATTATTGTGGACTCTTCAGTAAAGAAGACACATAATGAATGTGATCTTTAAAGATGATAGATCTGGCATTAAGGTTTTGGGTCTGTTGTTGGAGGACTGAAAAACCAGAAAGCAGGGACACTCACTAGAGTCATAACCATGGAAATACTGGAGAGGCCTTTCTAAGGATTGATAGAAAGAGTCGAGGTACTAAATACTAGGGAGTGGCATCAGAGGTCTCACGGCTGGCGTTCAGCTCCACCAAATATATACAAACTGTGACCGTAAGAAACATTCTAGTCCTTCATTTTCCTCATTTGGTTAAAAACAAGCCATAGAACAGCAGGATGAGGGTCACAGAGTCAGTCCCCTGCTGAAGGGTCTCCTGGTTACTGCCCATGATGGCAGCAAACCAATTCTTTTGCTCTGTTAAACTTAGCAAAGTCTAGAATGGAATTCATGGAGAACAATTTTGTGTTCTTATAAGAACAATCTTATGATTTTGTGGTTTGTAAGATACTTTTATATATAATAGCTTATTAAACCTCAAAATTCCCCGAGGAATGTATTATTATCCCCATTATGTGGTGTGTAATGAAAGTACAGTCTAAGGCTTACCCATGGTGATAGAAGTATTGGACTATAAGGCTAGTGCTTGAATGCAACTCTCATATCATAGGTACCATATTGATATTTCTAGAGATCTCTAGGAAATTGTTCTCACTGATAAAAACTAGTATTAGAAGAAACTTCATGACAAGGAGGGGGAACTGAATGTTAAATATGAGATTTTATTGTATGGATCATACGTGATATGTTACCTAGTTATTTTATTCTTGAGGAAGTGATTACGTGAATACTATGTAGTTCTGGTGTGGTGCTGTGGGCTAATGTGTCAGACTGCAAAGGTGTTTGAACTACAAGGTCAGTGGTTCAGGCTCACCACTTTGTCCTTGGAAACCCTGTACAGGGATTCTGTGGGGCGGAATCGACTTGACGGCACTTGATAACAACTAAATGCACAAATTAGGTTTGTATGTATATAATAGTGTTGTGAGAAAGAAGTGTTGGAAGAAATCCCAGTGTATAAAGATATGGAAATGTGAGATAGAGAAGATTAAAATTCTCCTCAAAAGATTGATAGCATTAGATAGAACAACTTCTAGATAGAGCTAGAGGAAATGCAGATGAGAACAATAACTATATGAGTGCTGTTGTTAAATGCCACTGAGCCAGTTCCAACTCATAGCAAGCCTGTGCAGTGCCACACTAGGGTCCAGTAAATCATTATTTATTGCTGACTTTGGTGCCATCAAATTGGCGCTGACTCATAACAGCCTTGTGTAGGGTTTTCAAGGAGCAGCTGGTAGATTTGAACTCCTGACTGTTGTTCACAGTCCAGTGCTGGTCCTACAGCTCCATACCAGGAGTCTTTGTTGTCATTGTTATATGCCATGGAGTTGGTTCCGACTCATAGCGACCCTGTACAGGCTTGCCGAAGCTGTAAATCTTTATGGGAGCAGAAAGCCTCATCTTTCTCCTGCGGAACAGCTGGTAGTTTCGAACTGCTGACCTTGCGGTTCACAGCCTGATTCATAACCACTATGCTAACAGAGCTCCTTACCAGGAGTCCTAGCCAAATTTAATTCATCACCACTCTATAGAACAGGGTACAAGTGTCCCCCAGAGTTTCCAAGGCAGTACTCTTTATGTAAGCAGATCACCACATCTTTCTCCCTCAGAGCAACTTTTAGCAGCTGAGTGCTTAACCACTGCACCACCAGGAGTCCAGCCATACTTCAGGGTATCTAAAGTCTATTGATGACCTTAAACCAGACACTTAGTCCCCAAGCTGCCGGTCTTCCCTTTTCTCACAGAGGATGTGATCTGTCTCTCAGGGACCCCTTCCCCTTCAGATCTTAGACTCTGCCTTCAGATAATCCCCCGGAGCCCTCAGTACTACAGACCCCAAGAGGCATTCAAGATGAGTTCCTGTGGCCTAAATCCTCTTACACCTAAGAGTTTTAATTCTTCTCCTACCAGCCTGCTAGTAGGTAGGAAAGATGGCATTTTGAGTAAGTGATTCTTGCATTTAAAAGAAGATTAAATACTAAAATATTAATAATAATCTCTTGAAAAAACTTTCAGGAGATTAATCAAGTGTAGGATGTTTGAGATGTAATAACAATATTTGTGGAAAAACATAGTCCTGAATTATTTACTGTGAGAACATTCTATGATATAGAGGGAACTCAGAGTTTTTGTAGCTCTTGAAACCTGCCTTTAGGAGGTAGACATTAATAGCTCATTTTTTGTTTGATTTTTTTTTAACCAGATGGAGACAATTATGGACAAAAATGTCTCTTAAGTTCACACATTCTGTAAATATTTGGTGGAGCTAAACTTCAGTTTGTCTCTTGTAACATTATATCTAGTGGTGGTTACTGTTACGTGCTGTGGAGTCGATTCCAACTCTTACTAACCCTGTATAGGGTTACCGAGGAGCAGCTGGAGGGATTGAACTGCTCACCTTGTGGTTCAAACTGACCTTGCAGTCCAGTGCATTATCCTGCAGTGCTACACCAGGACTTCTTGTATTTGTATCTAGTTTTATTATATTGTTATTAAGTACGGTGGAGTTGGTTCCAATTCATAGTGACCCTGCACAGAGTTTCCGAGGCTGTAAATCTTTACGGGAGCAGAAAGCCTCATCTTTCTCCCATGGAACGGCTGGTAGTTTTGAACTGTCGACCTTGAGGTTAGGAGTCTGATTCATAACCACTGCACTACCAGAGCTCCTTTGTATCTGGTAGCCTCCCTAATGTAGGAAACCAACAAGTTTAGGAACTCACTTAACACTTACAAGAAGAGTACAAATGTCAAATTCATGGGACATCAGGAATAGTGTAACTTTTCAGTGGTTTTGCAAACTTAAAACTAGGTTTAATTTTCTAGATTGAAGAAAAGAAACAAAGAGAGGAAGCAGAGCGCGAGAGACTGAGAATTGCAGAAGAAAAAGAAGAAAAACGGCTTGCAGAACAGAGGGCACGAATTCAGCAAGAGTATGAAGAGGAACAGGAAAGAAAAAGAGAGAAAGAGGAGGAGGTACATTTGTTTAAACTCTATTTTATTATTTAGTCTGAAAGTGAAATCTTGATTTTGACTTGAAAGATACTTGTTATTTATGAAAGAGAATAATCTTGAAGTATGGTTAGAAAATACCAGATATTCATTCATTGGATATTAATTAAGGTGTAAGACACTTTTAAGAAAAGAGCTAAATGATGATTTTTTAAGTACAAGAAAATAGTTCTAAGTTAACTAAGGATATCTTTCTATGTACATATGTAAAGGCATTACTTAATTCCAGACAAGGCAGAAGACTTTAATGGACTATAGAATATAATTATGGAATGAATTTTTTTTTTTTTTTGTTACCTTTATTCCCTCTTTAGCAAAGGCTGAAAAATGAAGAGCTAATTCGGTTAGCAGAAGAAAGACGAAAAGAAGCAGAAAGAAAAAGGAAAGAAGAAGAAGAAAAACATAACCAGCAACTTCAGCACTACTATGAAAGGGAAAATATGATTGGAGAAGAAACGAAGGTAAACTTCTCGTGAAAATGTCAATCAAACTTACTTCAGTGACGCTTTCACTATAATGAGAATTGTGGCAAGAGAAAGGAGACGATGTGTTTGTTTACCCCATTCTACCTTACTGTTTGTATTTAGTCCGGGCACGATGTACTGGACTTCCATGAGAATTGATGATGCTGTGTGTCTAAAAGTTTTCTAGAGAAAACAGAGCCAATGATATATACTGAAGAGGGAGAGAGACACAGGTTGATACATGTTTTAAGGAATTGGCTCCAACAATTAATTGTGGGAGGCTGTGAAGTCCCAAATCCACAGATCTGGCATAAGGCTGGGGATTTCTGAAACTTTGTACCCCCAAATCTGTAGGTCAGGTAGCAGAAGAGTAAGGAGTGATGGCATTATGAGCAAATGTCTGTTTCTAGTCTAGGGCAGACATCTCAGTTCTTTGCTTTTAAAGTCTTCAACTGACTGGATGAGACCCACCCACACTATGGAGGGTAATATGTTTTACCTAAGTCTAACTGATTTAATCACATGTAACTACTTCATAACAGTGTCTAGACGAAAGTTTAGAAAAATAATTGGCCACAATTTTGTTGTTGCTGTAAGTGCTGTCTCATCTGTTCCAACTAATGGTGACCTTGTGGTTTCTAGGGAGCTGCTGGTGGGTTTGAACTGCTGTCTTTGTGGTTCACAGTCCAGTGCTAATCTTACAGTGTCACACCAGGAATGTTTAGAAAAATAATTGGGCACCATAGCTAGCCAAATTGACACATAAAATTAACACTGTGATTTGCTGGTATTTTCTCCCTAGTTAAAGCAATGGGTTTACTGAAATCATTCCTAGCTTTGTTCCTGTCATTCGTGGTGGTGTTTCCCAAAAGTATAGGCCATGGACCAGCACCTTAGCAAATTATTTGTTACTGGTTCATGACAAGATAAGTAAAAAAGTTAAGATTATACTACAAGAACAAACAAGTTGCTCGTCCAGGAGATTATCAAGGCAAGTAAGTGGTTGGGTCCCCTCAGAGCAAATCCCCTTCCAAGACTAAGACTCAATGGGAATACA